CTGTTTTATTTTGCACATTGCCAAAATGTTTTGTGATAGTGGTAAAAAATCGAAACACTAATTTGATATTTTTATATATTTTTGCATTGTAGCGTTTGGTATTGTAATGAGTAACAGGAAATTTTATTTTTTAAAAAACTCTTAAATGACATTTTTAAACTAACTAATATATTTTTTAAACTTGTATTACCTTTATACAAAATATGTTTTCATATTTTCGTTTTAAATATTTTTGAAAAAAATAAAGATTACCAAGTATGTTTTCAATTACTATTCAAAATACTCTATAATAAAATATTTATTTTGTTTGGTATTAAAACAAAATACGAAAAATAAAACGTTTATCGAACATGCCTTTAAGATGTGCATGGTACACAAAAAAGCAGATATTAGCTCTGTATCACTGTTTAACTATTAAAGTTTCACGTGCATGAAAGCATATAAACTTGACAAGATAGTGATAGATGTGTGTGTAATGGGCTCTGTTTTGTGGTGGCCATTGAATTAAACATATATGTCATCTATGTGTTCGAACGTCATAATTGCCACAAAAGGAATAAATTTGATTGAATACAAATTCACCCATTTTCTATCATCGTTTGCAGATTGCTTCCATACTTACTATTTTATTTTATTTTTTATTCGGCAAACAAGCAAATAATATAAAATCAAACAACATTACAGTCCAGCAACCAAAGGGAACCAACGGTATCATTCACAATGTCTTGATCTGTCCCTGTTGGGTATGTAACTCAGTGAATATAGTTATCATTTAATGAAGTAAACACAACATTAAATTACCAAGTCGACCCTAATAGATTATTTTACCCATTTTTGTTCTTAATATGATATGTTACATTAATTACATTGTGAACATGGTTACTGACAACCCAATGGATATAACTTTCATTTCGCATTTACCATGTTATTTTTATTCTTCTTTCTTATTATTATTATTATTTTTTATTTTGATAATAAACTCACAAACCTTTTCATGAGGAATTTATTTATTTGTTTTCCAGAACTCCTACGAAGAATTAAACATCCCTCGTTTCATTTTGAAAGGTAAAAAATTATCACTAAATTAGTCTTTGATGATTATATTTTTATAATATCATTCATCAATTTAAGATTTAAAAAAGCTATTTTTTTTTTACTCAACTTTTGATACTTTTATTGTCATAACTAAGAAATTACAAATGAAAAATGGACTGGGCTTCAATTTTAGATTCATTATGATCGCGAAAATAAAACAATTTAAATTCGGTTTGATCTTGGTTTAGTTGTTGGAATTAAAAAAAGAAAAAAGAAAAAAAAAAAAAAGGTTGTTTAATGAAGTTTCACATTTTATTGAAGCTAAAACTATTGTCTAGTTACTTTATGTTCAAATGATTTTAAAATATTAAATAGGGTTGAGTGCAAAAAACCCCCCCGAACTATAGGGGTTTTGCAACTAACCCCTCGGAAGTACAAGAAACCCCCCTGAACTTTCAATTTGTTGCAATTTGCCCACTCAGGCCACCTGAAAAGTAAAAAGACGATGCTGCCCTTCCTAAATTGAATTATTGACTTATTGAGGTGGCAAACACAAGAGATAACAAGCTCTGTAAAAACACACACACATATATATGCACTGTTCATCTTCTTCACAAGGCATCCATATGAACTCACCACTAGCCTGTCCCCGCTGGATCCATCAGTACAGTCGCTTGGGGAAGATCAGTTGCTACGCTTGGGGAATATATAGATAGAGAAAGCAAACTTGTAAAGTTTTTGACTTATCTATATATATAATTAGTATAATGACTTTTCAACTGTGGGGCCCACCTGAGATATAAGGGTCATTACAGACCCATTTAATTCCAATTTGCTTTCTCTCTCGAACAGCTTAAATCTCTCTCTCTCGCTGCTTCTGTTTTTTTTCTTTTCTTTTTTCTTTTTCAACTCCAATCCTTGATTTCTCTCTCAATTCTTGGCGGATTTAGGTGCCGTTTGAGGCAAAACGACGAGCACGACGAGCTCTACGTGCTAGTACCAGAAATTCCAGCTTTTGGTCCTCTTTGGCAGCTCGAATTTAAGGACCCATTTTAAGGGTTTTGTGCAATCTTGAGGTAGGGGCCCTTAACTCATGATGTTCTTGCTCTTTTGTGAATTATACCTCATAAATTGTTGAAAAGCATGCTTATATTTTGAATTAATTGTATTAAAAATGATGTAAGTGTTATATGTGAGGTTATGATTAAATGTGTTACTTGAGTTGTATGAGAACATGTTTATTTGACTAATTTCCTTGTCTGATAAATTGATTTACCATGCTTATATTGTTGTAAAACTTGTTAGAATGATATGGGATGGCATGTGTAATTTTCCTAGAGTACTTGTAATGTATGCACAATTGTATAATGTGAAAGCCTTCACTTCCATGGCATTAAGAACATGATGTACATGCATACCATGAAACATGATTGGGAAGATTGTTTTTGAAATGAAAATAGGGAGTTTTGGGGAAAAGTATTTTGATGAAAGTGTTTTTGGAATACCCGGTCGCCGCGGGGGTATCAAAGGGCCGGAGTGTTAATATAGCCTAGAGGGGACTAGGGAGTCGCCCTAGCGTGGTTGAGCTAGCTGGGCCCCATAATGACGCCGCGGGGTTACCAAGTGTCAGGGACACTAGCCAATCCTCCTCTCGTGTCGTTGCGGGGTCACCAAAGGGCGGGTTATATTAACAGTTTGAAAGTGATGGATTTTAAATGTGAAAACGGGGAGCGACATCGGCATGCATTCGCATTTCATGGCGTTGCATTGTTTGTACTTGAGTTTGATTGGAATGTTGTATTATCCCGATATTGTATGATCCCCATTCCCATTGACCTATTCTATGTTTGGATTCACGGGGACACAAGATGCGTGTCTTAAGTGTCACCTGCTGAGCTTTATGCTCACCTTACTATTTATATTATTTTTTTCAGGTCTTGGAAATGAACTAGTGGACGACAATCCACCTCAAGCTTGAAAGTTGTTAGAAGGTTGTTTGCTATTTTGTATTTTGACCGTTCTATGTATATTTGTAGTTGTGGAAATGTAACTAAGTTAGTATTCATGGCCTTGTAACTTAAGAACGAACTTATCTTTTGTTTGATGTAAATGAAACTAGTGGAATTATGGTATATGTTTCCATGAAATTGTATCATGTAGCGTTGTAAGACAGGGACTTTAAATATTAATCTTGTATTTTGGGACTGTAATTATGATAATTTAGATTATTTGGTGTGTGGATGTTCCACCATGAACGGAACTATGTTAAGGTATAATGAACGGATGAATGGGATGCTAGATGATTTTATGTGTTTTGTGTATTGGGACAGGTTGTTGAAGGCCCATTTTTAGGGGAGGTTATGTCGATTTTTTTTTTAAATTTTGGTATCAACTAGGGTCGTTACAAAACTGAAGATGTGTAGAGAGAGGGATGAAAAAAGGGATCACATGCAGAGATAGAGAGGATGAGAAAGGTCGACCAAGAGTGTTCATGACCAAAAGGGGCGCCAATCTGATTCTACAGGTTCAGTCTCTTGGGAACCTGGCTATTGTGTTGCCAATATGAAACTCACTCACCCAACCTCTTAATCCTCACCAAACTCAATGACCGGTGGCGCAAAGCCCGAGGACACGACCATGGAGCCGGGTCTTGATCCTACCCACAGTGAACAACGGACACGAAAGGCCTGAGACAACAATGATTCCGGTCACGAATGGCGGGCATGACGCTCCTTAAACCTAGTTCCACAACCACAGCGGCGACGACCATGAAACACAATCATCTGGTGTTTTAATCAATATGGTTTTGAGCAATAATATTGTACTACATCTATGATTGCTAGGTTTATCTCTCTAAAATTTTGCCCATCATCGTCGTCGGTGAGCTCGGCGGGCTGGTTCGGCGGTGGCTTCCACTTGAACAGATCGTCATTTCTACAATTGAAAGCTTCGTTGCTCGCGTACGGATCTGCCGCCGCCCATATTTGGTGCTCTGCTATCAGATCGGAATCCGACGCCACCGAGTAGCAGTTTTACGCCACCTTCGTTCCAAGGGGAGAACCAGAGTGTGTCGATGATGTTCATCAGATTGTACGGGGAGAACCCGAATATGACAGCGGGTCGGTGTGTAGTATAAATTGGGGGCGTTCATCAATCTAGAATGTAGTATAGAAACCCACTGCCACCACCCCCACCCCCACCCCCACCCCCACTCCCGCCACCACCATCACTTATCTCACCAACCACGATCCGGCCATCTCTCCATGGTCTTTAAAAATTAAACGACTCCTACTAAAATCATACACCTTGAAACCCCCAAAAATCCACCATCACCACCCTCACTTCCGCTGAAATCTGACAACTCTCCTCCTCTGGTGCCGCCGCGGGTGTATGGTGCTCGTTACAGTCATGATCGAAGAAGAATTGGACTTTTTGCAGATGGTGAACAATGATCTGTGTGTATACACACGCACACACACACACTCTACGTATATGGGCGTATGACTCAGCTGCGATGGGGAATTAAGGGCATTTTAGTACATGCGTCCAAGGGTAGTATGGTATTTTAAAATAAGTCAACCATTTTTAACGGTCAACATTCACCGGAACTTGGCCGGATGGGGTAATTTGCAACTTTTTTGCATAATTCAAGGGGTTTCTTGCATTTTTTGAAGTTCAGGGGGTTAGTTGGAAGTTTGCCCACAGTTCAGAAGAGTTTTTTGTACTTAACCCAATTAAATATTTAAAAAGACTCGAAAGAAAAAAAAAAAAAAAAAAGAAAATTTGGTCCCACCTCCTCATTTTGGAACGAAAGGGATAATGATAGATGCAAGCGGTACAGGACTAGTGTCTTGTGAGAGTCGAGCAGCCCAAAATTTTGTGGCTATTGGGCAGCCAGCAACAATTTGAAACACTCGATCAAGCTTATTTTATTTAATAATAATAAATATTACTACATTAATAAGAAACAAATCAATTCGTTGATAACACATTACTTTCCAAGGTTGCAAAAGATTGGCACCGATATTTTTTTCCTCCTATTACACATTAATGTTATCCCTCCCTTTCAGTTGCCTCCTCTACGTCTAGGGTTTTTATATGCTTCCCAAATTTTCCCAAATTTTGTAGTTGGTTCTATTTGCTTTGCATTTCAGAAGGACTTCATCAATACTGTCGTGGTGGTTTTCTTTGTTCCGAACTCAGATTAGTTACTACGATATAAGGTAACTTGAAGTGTTAATTCGCTTTGTTTGTTTACTGGGAAAAGGTCGGAATGAAAAAGAAAATGAAAGTCTGAATCGTGGGTTTTATGTCTTTTCGGTCATGAGAAAACAGAAACTTGTAGAAATAGGAGCACAGTTTAAATTTTCCGCACGACTTTGTGTGTGTGTGTAATGCGTTTCCCCCCTTTTCCTCACTACTATCGAATTTCACAGCGAGATTGAGCTATTTTTAGGTGTTTATATGCTGAAATTTGTTATCGATAGGGGTAATTGACTTCATGAGATTTTCAGATTCTAGGTCTGTTTTATAAGTATGTTTCAGGGTCTGGTAGTTTGTAATTTGTTCTATTTGTTGAAATCTTTATTCTTTTTACACACATATGCACATGTATATCCCTATATATCATTATTTATTGATTCTCTTTTGTTGTTAATCTTTCTAAGGCAAGTATATTTTCCAACCTGCTTGTTCTTGGCTCCGTAGTTTTGATTTAAAGCTGTGAACTTTAGTTGATGTATAGATTTTGGCAAACAACAGTTACTTCTTACAATTGTGACCATAATGTTCTGCCTTTGGTTGATTTGATTTGGAATTTCTTACTCATTATTTGTTGTCCTTGTTTTTTATAATTGACTGAATTCATTTGCAGTGCAAATTAATCATATGAGTGAAGTTTGATTAGATGGTATGGATGAAGGAATGAATGACGAAGTGAATACAATCAATGCCATTGATGGCACACACAGTGAAATCAAAGGGGGCGAGTACTCACTGAAAGCAGACCGTGCCAATGTGTTGGGATCACATGAGATGATTACTCCTGGTGAGGGTGAATGTCGAGAGAGCTCACCCCATGTATTTGGAATTATTTTGGAGAGCAAGAACATTGACCAAAGTGGTGCTTTTGAATATCCTCATACCAGGACTCGCCACATGGATGATACTGGTAATATGGTTGAAGAGTTGACATTAAGAAATTGTGATGATGGCAGCTTAGCTATAGTGGGCACCTCAAATAATAAAGATATGGCGCAGACTCGGCAGAACCAGTGGCAGCATCTATATCAGATAGCAGGTCGATCAGGAAGTGGGAGCTCATATGGAGATGCTGCCAACAAAGAAAATGGTCATGCCATGTCAACTGCCTGGGAGAATGCGGGACAAACAAATTTTACTGATTTTTGGGGTCAAAAATCACCAGATGATTTCAATGAAGTCACAGATTCACCAAATAACACAGGCAAAGCTGTCGCGAGCAATACTTTATTGTCTCCTGGGATTATCCGGACTAAAATTCTATCTAAATCTGGGTTTTGCAATTATTTTGTTAAAAATACGCTGAAGGGTAAGGGGGTCATATGCAGAGGTCTAGCTCGTGAAGGGTCTGCTGTCGAGTTCAGGGGACAGACTGATTCAAAGCCTGCTGGTTCTGCAGTCGTAGCTTCTGATGCACTGTTGAGTTCAAGTGCAAGAACTGTTATGACTCCTTCCTATGGTGTTCCTGGGCCTGGACGTGGTCTTCTTTTCAATGATTTTCATGATGGGGTAAATTTGAGAGAATGGCTAAAAGCTCGCCACAAAGTAAATAAAGTTGAGAGTTTGTATATATTTAGGCAGATTGTGGATCTGGTGAATTTCTCTCACTCTCAAGGAGTTGCCTTGCAAGACTTGCGTCCATCCCGCTTCAAGTTGTTGCCATCAACTCAGGTCATATACCTTGGATCATCCGTTGGAAAAGAAATGGTGGAAAATGTTAGGGATCTAGAGATTTTGCACCCGGGAAACGAGAAAAGGCCTTTAGAACAGGCTATGTACCACACTGGTAGTCAACATGCAAAGAAGCATAAATTTGGGGAGAACATAAGACGGTGGCCTCAGTTTTCTGCAAGATCTGACTTCAAATTAGCTACTGCTAACGATGCTGATGTCAATATTGCTTGTCCACAAGATTCCACTAATGAATTCAAAGAAGACTGTAACCTGAAAACGGAATATAAGGTTCTTGGCCACTCCAGCAGCCCTTATGGATATAATACATCCCAACGGCTTTTGACTTCTGTAGGTAATCCATTGGAAGAGAAATGGTATACTAGTCCGGAGGAGCTCAATGAGAGGAGCTGCACTTTTTCTTCAAATATCTACTGTCTGGGTGTTCTTATGTTTGAGGTACAAAAATGTTTTTCTAATTCTGTTTTGAACTTCTTTTTTTTTTCATTTTTTTTTTTTTTTTTTTTTCACAAGAACTTTCTTAGCGGGCTACTATATTTTTTCTTATACTAAATGGATACAGGTCTCAAACATGGAAACCCTAGTATAAGATAAAAAATGTAAATATGATTTTGCCCACACCATAATTTGTATGAGGCGTTCCAGTAGAATTATTGTTTAATGAAGCATCATGAGATTAAAATGCATGGCCATCAATTTTACCATGGTCTTAACTGAAACTAACTTTTTATTTATTATTATTATTGTTTGTTTAAGTGAAATAAGAAACTTTTATTGAACCACCCCCACCCCACGTAAACTGGACCATTGTTTGCTTGTTCTTGATGGATGATGAGTGGTTGAACTGGTACTTGACCAATAATCCTTTCTGTCAACTCCTTTTTGGGGAAATGAAATTGGCATTTTTTTGATAGAATAATATAAAGCGGTTTCGAGGGTTTATATGCCAAGTATGGTCAGCATTTATTTCATGGTTGGCTCATAACTCAGGTAAATTCTCCTTATTTTGAGGTATATTTTATTTATATATATATATATATATATATATATATATATATATATATATATATATATCTATCGCTTTCAGTGGACTTAAGCAGTAATCATTTTGAGGTAGAAAGGTTGGGATGATAGAATTTAGTCTGGCTGCAGCTGCAAGAAGAAGCTTTTAGAGTACTTATTCCAGGAAGGGGGGAGAAAAAAAGAAGAAGGTGAGGAGGCTTCTAGAGGAACTTTGAATTAGGACTTCAAGAGCAGCCTTAAATGGCTGAAAATTAAAGAGTTCAGTGGCTGAAAATTCAAATAACCAGGGCTGGAGTTTGAGGTTTGATAGTAGAATTCAAAATCAAGGAGAACGGATCTGAGATACTAGCAACCTATTGGAGTAACACCAATAAGCCTTGGCATCAGACCTAAAGGTCTCACACATCCATAATTTGTGTATCACTTGCAAGGAAATTTCATTAGACATTTGCTTATTCATTCATTCATTGATTCAACCGAGATTACACTCCATTCCTTTAGAGGATTTCTACTCATGCCTCTTAGACTTACAAGGAGCTCAACTCATGTCTTTTGGACCTACCTTGTAATTGAGGTAATTATTAGACTCACAACTCTTCCAGTTTTTAATTCACGACTTAGTAATATAAATAAAAGTAAATAAAAACCACCAAGCTCATAAATGTTGCAACTTGACCAAAGCTCCCAATTATTCAAAACTCCAAGCGGACCCCACTTCATCTTGCATATGTCAAATTAAGCCTTGAGTCCTAAAACCCTCCTTTCCATGCCTTTTATACACACTTAAAGGTTGCTTCCATCAATCTTCATCAATCCTCCCCGGTTTGGAAACACTCGACCTCGATGAGGAAAGGCATGAAACTGCTCATAAAGGGCAGGAAGGAGCTAAATGTTGGAACTCACTATTGGTAATTCAAGTACAATCGAAAAATGGATGTCCAAATGCATTTAATAAGGGACTGTTGATAACCAACTCCTCTTGTTGAAACAAGTTGGTGATCAACAATATATTGTATTTCCTCATTTAAATGTGGGGCTGGTGGATAGGATCATTGACATTTTTCAAATGGAAGGTGATATCTTCAACATTGAAGACTTTACTTATACCCATGTGTTGTGCTAGGTCAAGTACATAAGCATTGAAGTTAATTTTCTTAAGAACTTTGTATGGGCCAACACTACTTGGCTGAAGATCTCCATAAGCACCTTTAGGATAGCGCCCAGGTTTTATTTGCACCATAACCATGTCTTCTTCATTTAATTCAGCAAACTTCCTCCGAAAATCAGCTCGTGTTTTGTAACTTTCATTGGTAATTGCAATCTTCCTCCATACTTCAACATGAAGATCTCAAATATGCTTACTAAAAGCATCGGCTTCAGCACTGGGCATACCTCAATTGATAAAAGAACCATATCAATTGGCTTCCTAGGAAGTAAACTTATCACAATTTCAAAGAGTTTACTTCTAGTTGTCCTGTTTATGGAGCTATTCTATGTAACTTCAGCCATTGAAAGAATCTGGTCCCAACTAATAATAGGGTACCAACAAGGCAACAGAGCAAGTCGCTCAATCTGCAATTAATAACTTCCGTTTGGCCATCTATTTGTGGGTGAAAAGAAGAAGAAAATTAAAGTCTTGTATTTCGCAACTTTCATAATGTGTGCCAAAAGTAACTCATAAACTTCACATGATCGCATCTAAATCAGGAAAAATTGGTGTTTATTTATGTTATTTTTTTAATAACCTGACAATGCAAGAAAAACTGGTGTTAGGCAATCAATAAAGCTGGACAACCTCTTTTAAAAAAAGTGTGGCAATGTGGACATCATCAGAAGTCTCAGAACAAGGGATGAACCATTTTTTGAAAAACGACCACCCACAACAATGAATATAACATTATGTGCTCGACTAGTTCTAGACAACCCATGAATAAAGTCCATGCTTAGGTTTTGTCATGGTTCATGAGGGATAGGAAACGGTGTATATAAACCTGTGTTTTTCTTTCTTCCCTTAGATATTTGACAAGCGTAGCATGGAGCAACATTTTGGCCGCATCCTGTTTCAAACTTGGCCAATAAAAGCGATATTCCACCATTGCAATAGTCTTATCCCTTCCAAAATGACCTGCTTCCACACCAGCATGCAATTCCCACATTACATGTTCATGAAGAGATGTGCTAGGTAAACATAGTCGAGTTCCCTTAAAGAGAGAACCATCATGCAATGAATACACAGGATATTTACCCTGCTATCCAGCCATCAAATCAGCATGAGGAACCTCAAATGCTGAAAATTAAAGAGTTCAGTTACTGAAAATTCAAATAATCAGGGCTGAAGTTTGAGTTTTGGTAGTAGAGATGAAGAATTTAATATCAAGGAGAAAAGTTTTTAAATAGTAATAAACTATTGGAGTCACTCCAATGAGCCTAGCGATCACAGGTAAAGAAGAAGGTCTTAGAGCCCCGTAATTTCTGAATCACTCACAAAGTCACAAGGAAATTTCTTAAGACATTTGATTATTTATTCATTCTCTTTTTCGACTAAGATTACACTCCATCCCTTTATAGGATCTCTACTCATGCCTCTTAGACTTACATGGAGGTTAACTTGACTTTTAGACTAACCTTATAATTGAGTTAATAAATAAGACTCATAACTTTTCGAATTCTTAACTCTCAACTTAATAACATAAATAAAAGCAAATAATAACCAGCTTAATTGCATCATATCCATATGCCCACCAAGCTCATAAACGATGCAACTTGACCAAAACTCCCAATTATTTAAGACTCCAAATGGACCCCACATCATCTAGCACATTCCAAATTAAGGCTCGAGCCTTAGGATCCTCCTTTCCATGCCTTCTATGCATCTTAAACTACAAGTGGACCCCACATCATCTAGCATATGCCAAATTAAGGCTTGAACCTTAGAACTCTCCTTTGCATGCCTTCTATACACCTTTAAAGGCTGCTGCTACCGTTGATCTCTGTCGGACTCTTGTTTCTTTTCCTTGTGCTGAACTCGATAGAGATGGTTTGGTGGTTGTTTACTTTGGTTCCTGGTTAATTTGGTTTGGAAGGATCCTAAACATTTGAGAGATCTCTCCTTGGTAAACATGAATTGACTTGAACAAATAATAGGATTAAAAGGAGGTGGCTGACTGACCATACGTTGGTTTGTTAGTCAAATCACACTCAAACTCATACATTTATCTATTTACATATATTTAAATGTGTCCCAATCTTACATTGCATTGTTGATGGCTCCTTTCCGTGAAATGCGATTTGGTACCTTTCTGTCCCATCTAAAATTTCTACCTTCATCTATTCTGCTGTTCTGAAATGGATTCTTACCATTGATCTACTTAAAGGAGGAGGTGTTTTAATAATGATCAACAGGTTTTTATTATATTGTTATTTAGTTTGTTAATAGATTACATGTTCATCTATTTTGAGTTTGGCTTTGAAATTTGGTCCGACATTTGCTTTTAGCCTTTTAGTCTGGAGTATCATGGGTCCTTTTTGAATCTTTTTGGTTTTTTCCTCCTTCGATAAGGCTGTCTTCAGCTGGCACCTTGAAGCTTTTAGGCTCAAGGGCTAGACAATCTTTGAATGGTTGTTTATGTAGGTTTGTGCAGCCTATATAGGGAAATAGGTATATATTTTTTAATTTCAGAAGTCTATATAGGTAAAAATTGCTCCACTATAAAGGGGGAAGTGGGGGTGAGTGTACTTCTTGCCAAGGTATATATATATATATATATATATATATATATATATATATATATATATTCACGATCATTGTATACCAAGCATTGGAGGCAAAGTGGAAGGGTGAGTGTTAAAGTCCCCATAGAGGCAAAGTGGGGGTGTGAGTTTCTTGCCAAGATAAATAATTAAATAAATAAATAAAGGGGAAGAAATTTTTATCAGCAGCTATTAGGATCCCTCTTCGATAAAGAACGGAATTTCGTGGTCATTGTGATCTCACTCTCTTTCTATTCATGTTTCTCTTGCTTTCTTTTTCCTTTTGAATAGCTTTGTTATGATCGACCTTTTGTCTAAGATTAATTTTGATGCATGCAAGCACCCTTCATATTCCCTATTTCTGTACAGCTAGAAAAAAATAGCTATCTTGATTTTGTTGATAAATGTTAATTGCACTTTCTGTAACCTGTGAAAGAATTACTATCATTATTATTTATTTATTTCCAGTTTTTGGTTCTTCAATAGTTTTTGAGTTGACAGTGGTTGCCTCTTTGGACTTATGTGGTTGTTTCCTTCAGTTATTTGGTTCTTTTGACTATGGAAGGAAGCATGATGCTGCCATGTTAGATCTGCATCACAGGATTCTTCCTCCAAACTTCTTGTCAGAGAATCCCAAGGAAGCTGGATTCTGTCTTTGGCTTCTTCATCCTGCACCGTCATCACGCCCAACAGCAAGGTAATTTCCGCAATCTGTCCTACCTCTGGTTTTACCATTGATTAAATTCTTCTTAGGGAAAGCTATTCCTGGAGATCGAGGTCAATCATTGTGGTCATCAAAGTTCTTTCTTCTTCTTTGTATTATTGTGCTTTCGAATGTTACCTTCTCTTCTGGTGTGTATTTATCCTGGTAGGGCAATTGATTTTCTTGTCACCGCTACTTTATACCTTAGCTTAATCTACATTCTCTTGTAGTAGCATTACCTGTAGAGCTCTTCAAGATCATTGAGGGGAGGACTCTAGATCTTTATTTTCAGGATTGTGAAATTCCTTTTCTCATATACGAACAAAGAGAGAGAAAAATATGAAGGAAAAAAACAAAGGTATCTATGGTGGCAGACTGGCAGTGGAGATAATTGCAAATTATAACACATTTTCTTATTTTTATTTTAACACTTGATTTTGATTCTCAAGAAAGCTAGTCTACCATTGAATAAGACCAGAATTAAAAGAAAAACATAATCTGATTGGGCTGTTTTATGGAATAATTGAACTGTCGAATAAAACCAATGAACGTTCAAGTCCCTCTTCTTGTAATGCGCCCCATATAGTGTATCATGTTTTCGGTAATTTTTTCATGTGAGCTTGAGATTTGGGACTCACCATTAAACAGGTCCAGCTTATTGATAGCCTTGTATATTTACACATATTGGAACCAATATTTGATCTAAATCAATCTAATCAAATGGAGCTAACTTTTGAATATAAAGATTATTGCTCAGTGCATTGGTAAAAGCTTGAGCTCATCAGAGTATGGATGCAGGTTTGAGTCTCATCTGTCTCTAGTGTTTCCCTCCTAGCACCTTGCTTAGGCACCACTTAAGTGCACTCTCTTTTAGCCAATTTTGGAACTATTGCTTTGTAACTCATGACCGTCAGATGATTTCACTTGATATATCTTTTTATTACTACACACTAAGCAAATGAAATAATATGTTTTCTACTAAAAAGCTCTTCATCCTCTTCTAAATCTTTTTTTTTTTTTTTTTTTTCAAATTAATTTTTTTATTTTATTTTTTATTTTAAAAAACAACTTGGGTCGCGTTAGTAATATAAAAAGGTAGTTTTGTAATCTTGTCGTACCGCCATTCAATATTAATATCAAGATACCATGCTACCATTCAATCTTAATATCAAAATATTCATCAAATTTTTTTTTCTTTATTGTGAATAGAACATTGGTCTTTTACATATTAGACCTCTATATCAACTTACACTGCAATGTAATATTCTTGGTTTGTGATCATTGGTCCATAACAGGGACATCCTGCTATCTGATGTTATAAGTGGAGCAAAGGAATCATGTGGAGAGGAGTTGTCATCATCTATTCACCAAGATGATGCTGAATCAGAATTATTATTGCATTTCCTTACATCACTGGAAGAGCAAAAGCAGAAGGATGCCTCAAAGTTAGTGGAAGAAATTAAATGCTTAGAAGCAGATATTGAAGAGGTTGAGAGACGGCAGACAAAAAAATCTTTGGTTTTTTCTTGCTCATCTAAGGAGTCTCTCAGTGCAAGGGGAAACAGATTCTTTGGAAAAGAATATTCAAGTTCTGAGGTGCACTCTAAATTATTCCCTGTACCATACAATGAATTGAGCTTGATGAGGAATATCAGTCAGCTTGAAAGTGCTTACTTCTCCATGAGATCCAATATTCAGTCTTCTGATAATGCTGTGGCATCTTGCACAAATAAGGATATATTGACGTATCGGCAAAATCGGTTTCGGGCACAGGAGGATGAAGAGAAACACAAATCCTCTGATCGCCTAGGAGACATCTTCAATGGCTTTTGCAAGTATGCTCGTTATAGTAAGTTTGAAGTGAATGGAATATTGAGGAATGGAGATTTTAATAGTTCGACAAATGTAATCTGTTCTTTGAGTTTTGACCGGGATGAGGACTATTTTGCTACTGCTGGGGTATCAAAGAAAATAAAGATATATGAGTTCAATGCACTTCTTAATGACTCAGTTGATATTCATTATCCGGTAATTGAGATGCCCAACAAATCAAAGCTTAGCTGCATTTGCTGGAATAATTATATTGCAAACTATCTGGCTTCAACTGACTATGATGGTGTGGTCAAGGTGTGTATTCTTTGCACATTATAGAATTATTCTACCATAAAAGGAAACAAGAAAAAAAAAATTGCCTGAAATTTAGTGGACCAACCCCTAGATGGGTTGGGCAACTTCATTCTTTGTGTGGCATACATGCAAATATTCTTGCACAACTATTACAAATCGAATGGATAACACACATCTGCATTAGATTTTAAGGCACATAGGATTAATTGTTTCAGTGTCTAATTATTTTTGTTTGGAGGTGGCAACAGTATTTGGATTATTGTATTTTTATTTTATTGCCAGACAGACACATCAGAGACTTCATTGGGGCAAATTAAACTGAGCCTTCAATTCCTTCCAATTTTGATTTTTTCTTTCTTTTTTCAATCTTTTAAAAAATTAAAAATAGTCATTGTTAGAGGATGACAGACACGCGAGAGGTTTCAGCTTCTCCGGCAATGACTGTTGCGAGATTTCAACTTAAAATCTGATCAGTGAGCCACTAGAATAATGTCATAGTTGTTCATGTGTTTCTCGTGCATGGAATAGATTTAGGGCATATTTGTCTTTTTACAAAAGCTTCTTTGATGTGTCTAGTTCATGGACATCACTGACAGGAGAAGTCAGTGTTATTTTGAAACCAAGAAGGGAGGTCCCTGTAATATTGACAAAACTCAGGGGAGGCAAGTGTAATTTGCTCTTTCTTTTTTCACTGAAACTTTTAAAGATATTGGCCTACGTGTCATGATATCTTTATAATTTTTATTAGAAACAAAGAGAATAGTTGAGGTTTCCTTATTCCTTTAAACTTTTTGCATAGTTGTGTTAATGGAAGCAACTTAGCATTTGTTAGAATATACCTGATTGAATCACTACAATCAAGAGTTATATTATAGGGAACATCTCACCTTTTAGAAGTCTTGTTTTTGACAGAAATTTTTAAAGATATTGGTCCATAGCTTAGAAATTTGAACATGAATAGTTTAAGGTTTTGTATATTCAAATTTGGATGATGCATCTATATACATCCAAAAATACATATATATTTGGGTAAAGTGCAATAAACCCCCCTTAACTATACCCTAATGAGCAAAAAACCCCCCTAAATTTCTAAAGTAGCATAAAACCCCCTTGAAGTATGTTGTTTGGTTGCACTTTACCCAATCCAGCAACCGGTTGATGGATTTCTAACATATGGCTGGCACATGATAGCCCATATTTATCTAAATGACCATAGAGCCCTTATGGAATGTAAAAGACCATAATACCCTTTAAATACATTTGGACCCAACTAGTATCCAATCAAGCCCTAACATTTTGTCCTCCTTCCTCATCGATCTGTGGAGTATATCTCTATCTACCTATATATGTATACATCTATATATATATATATTGTATGTTTTACAGAGATGAGTTCCTCTGTAGCTGTCTATATAAGTTTACATCATTTAATTTTGTTTAATGGAACCTCTTTCTCTCTCTCTCTCTCTATATATATATATATATATATATATATATATATAGGTCGTGTGCGCATGCCCGTCCATATTCATGGCAAGTTTTCATCTGGAAGATGAGAAATTCGATTTCAACAATAACAGAACTGATTCTCAACCCCAATCCCAAGCAAACCCAATCGCAAATTTTAACCCCAATCACAAGCAAACCCAATCGCAAAGAACTGATTTGTAAAACCCAACCACCGCCGCATTTCTTCCTCAAGGCTGAGCCCTCGCCGGTCCATCACCGCCGCTGCACCACCCGCCATCCACACAGCCGACATCATCTAAAGCCGAAACCGCCGAGGCTGTCTTCATCCTCTCCACCGTCCAAAGCCTCCTTGCTCGTCGCCACCGCGAGTCGTTCATGGCTGAGTCAGCTGAGCCCTTCACTTGCCTCGCCGTCATAGCCAGGCCGTCTCCACCTCACTGTCACAGCCAGCCCATCTCCACCTCGCCATCATAGCCAGCTTGTCTCCATCAAGCCGCCACAGCCAAGCTCGTCACCGCCTTGCCCGCCGTTCTGTCAATTGCCGGTTTCGTCGTCGCCTTTTCAATTTGGGGGTTCATCGCGTTTCAATTTGGCGGCTTGGACAGGGACCAGTTAGAGAGAGAGAGGGTATTAAGAAGTGACCTAGTTAAGGATAAAGAAAAGAAAAGGAAAAATAATAATAAAGTCATCAGCCAATAGGCTGCTGACACGTGTCCTCCATGTATTCTATTTTCCTCACTGTGATGTGGCACTGTTTTATGGAGGGGTAAATTAGACTTTTCAAATTTCCGGTAGCTAGAAATGACCTGAAGAACACTCCCTGTCCTAAGACTACACCAAGACCATAGTTGAGGGAGGTTATTTGTAGTTGAGGGGGGTTAGTTGCACTTAGGGTATAGTTGAAGGGGGTTTATTGCACTTTACCCTATATATTTTATGTAGTTCGTAACTTAGTTATTATACTTGTGCTAGATGCCCCTTCCCCTTTCCAATCCCACCCACGCAACAACAAATAAGTCATGTGCTTGACATAGCAACTATTGCTATTAATATATACTAATTTTCCCCTCAGTGATCATTATATAATTTTCTTGAGTTTTTCCAGTTATGGGATGCGGGAACTGGTCAAGGTTTTTCTCAATACATTGAGCATCAGAAAAGGGCTTGGTCTGTTGACTTCTCTCACGTGGATCCCAGAAAATTTGCCAGTGGAAGTGATGATTGTTCTGTGAAAATCTGGAACATCAATGAGGTATGCTCGCATTCTCTTCATATTTTAAATTTGGTGGCTCAAAAAAGTGATTTTCTATAAGACCAGAGTTGCAATTGAACTTTAATTATTTAGTTTATTCTTTCGTAAAGATCTTTTTTTGATAAGTTAGTTATCACAAATATCAACTTCATCACTTACCCAAAAGATAAATTATATCAGCTTCATCACTCGTTACTAGAATTTTGATACTTTGGTAAAAATGTGGTTTGCTCTCCTACTCTCTTTTATTTTTATTTTTTAAAAAACTTTATTGTAAATCTTTCACATAGGTGGCAACTAACATTATTTGATGTGCTGTGCGGTGTCGGACACACGTCTGACGCAACGCCTGGGACATGGCTGGTTATGTATCCGACACGGCTAGTAGCGTTCACATTTTTAAATGATTATTCTTTTGAGACGGACACGACAAGGACACAGCCCGCATACACCATTGGACTGAACTTCAATTTTAAAATATAATGGGGAAAAAATGTAAAAAAAAAATAAAAATTAGGCTTAAAATCCCAACAACAAAACAAGCGCATTCATTTATTTTGTTTGTTCTTTTCTTGAAACTTTGTTCCCACTTCTCATGTCAAAATGTAAACCAAATCATTGAGAGAGAAAGTGAGAAGAAGAAAAGGAGGAGAAATAGAAGAATAGAATAAAAAGTTGAGACATCCCCTAGAATGGGTATGAAATTATTAAGAAATCGGAACAAGTTAATTTTTATGTATAATAATATATTTTTATTTATGTATTTTTTTGACATATCCTTGCTGTATCCGTGTCCTATTTTTTTGAGATTTGTGGTATTGCCGTGTCCATATCGTGTCATACCCATGTCCAGTGTTGGTGTCGGTGCGTCCTAGGTTTTCTCCATCTCAGCCTTTATGTCAGTGCTCTTTTCATTCTGTCTCTGGCCACTGCTTAGAGTCCAGTGAGGTTTTACATGTTGACATTTAAAAAGTCCATTTATTTATTATTTTATTATTCTTTTTATGCAGAAGAACAGTTTATGCACTATCAGGAACATTGCAAATGTCTGCTGTGTTCAGTTCTCGGCTCACTCCAGCCATTTGCTAGCCTTTGGATCTGCGGATTACAAAACCTATTGCTATGATCTGCGGAATGTTTCCACCCCTTGGTGTATATTGGCTGGCCATGAAAAAGCTGTTAGCTTTGTGAAATTTTTGGACTCTGAAACTCTTGTTTCTGCATCCACTGACAACACGCTAAAAATTTGGGACCTCAATAAAACCAGCTCCAGCGGTTTATCAACATCTGCTTGCATCTCAACCCTTAGAGGGCATACCAATGAAAAGGTTGGTTTCTCCTCTTCCATGTTAGAATCTGCATCATATTTTAATTATGAATGGAAAGAATTTATTTTTCTACTGAATGCAGTATTACCTGGTCTTCACTGTTCTTATTGCTTTAACTTTGTGCTCTTTTTCCCTCAGAACTTCGTTGGTTTATCTGTAGCTGATGGATACATAGCATGTGGTTCAGAGACGAATGAGGTACGGGTTTATTTCTGATATCACATTATCTATTATACGCACAATCTGCATAGCTAAATAACCGCCACCTCATTGAAAGAATATAAAGCTGGAATATAACGGAGATGTCAAACTGTGAGAAGTTTTCAATCTTTGAAGTAGAATAGAGCCTTGAGGAAGGGAATTAAGGTTGCCCTATGATGGGTTCAACCGTACGTCATGCTGGAAAGGTCCCAAGGAGTCTGTGATGGTGGAGGAAAGATAGGGGAGAAGGTATGTGCGGCCATCTAAAGCCTTTGAGTGGGCTTTTCCCTAGATAAAGTGGACCTCCTTATTTTGAGAGTGGAAATGATATTTGTTACTAAGTCATACATGCGAGACACATGCACATGTAAAAGACAATCAATGAGATGGGATATGTCCAATGTGTTGTCACTCCAGAAAGTGATTTTCCACTATTCCCTTTTTATACTCTCCTCGAGTATATAAATACGTACTGGCCAGTATTGGAAGCTTGCAGATGTGGAGAAAATGGGCCAATACTTGTGTTGGAGCCAAGAACTTTTTCTAGGGGCGGGAGAACCGAAGAAGGGGGGTTTCTTCCCTTACCGGGCCTCATGTGACGCCTTCCTTGGCCAATATCCGTGTTTTCGCCCAATAATCAACACTTCCCTCTTGGGAGATTGAAGACCTCACAGGTGACATGTCAGGCCTATGACACATTTGACATAGATGGACCCTGTACCTATACCATTCCTTCAATTAAAGTTGGGCTAGGGCTTTAAATTATAGGGTTTACTATCGATAAGGTAAGAGATTCAGGCTGAAGATGGATATATGCTTGAATAGGCCAAGGTTTAAGTTTGATTTTGGTTTGAAATTGAAGAATGCAACTTGCTGCCATATCATACATACTATATTTAAAATGCAAAAAATTTCTATTTACTTTTAAAATGGACAAACTTTTCACTGGTGTGAAATGAATCTCATAACCATGAATAACATAGATCATAACTGAACAGGGAAGAAAGAAGAACAATACTTTCTCAATGAATAAATATGGGTGTGTAATGTGGATATTCTGCATTGCAGAGTTGGATTAATTCTTGATTTCTGGGAATTACAATTCGTCCACATTTTTTACTATATTGTATTTTTTCTTTCTTTTCTTTTTTGAAACTTACTTTTTTGCATTGGTCTGTTTCACTTCAGGTGTATGCTTATTATAAATCTCTGCCTATGCCAATAACTTCCTACAAATTTGGCTCCATCGATCCTATGTCTGGTAGGGAGACTGATAATGACAATGGGCAGTTTGTTTCAAGTGTCTGCTGGAGGCAGAAGTCAAGAATGGCTGTTGCTGCCAATTCCAGTGGGTGTATAAAAGTGTTGCGAATGGTTTAAGATAAAGGTAATCCTGTGAGATCAATCCGGTGTTGCTGTCTTGTGTGATGACTTCTCCAGCTTGACGGTCCCAGAGAGTTTTTCTTCAGGCCGCATTCTTCAATCAGGGCTGTAAGTTTCTATCCAAAAGAAAAAAGAAACAAAAAGAACTCTCAAATTTTGAGGAGATCTCAAGTTTTAACCAATGTGAGAGATGATGAAAGGGCTCAAGCTCCTGGATTTCATATGGTGCAGCTTTTTGGCGCTGAATAGTGGGTTTGGGTCTGACGGAAGCCAGCAGTAGCTGTGAGACTCATTCCAGATCTACATCCGAAATGAAGCCAGCAGTACCTGTGAGAAGTAACTCTAGATCATAGACTTGATAACACGACACTGTCACAGGAAATTACTTGCTTGAAAAGTGCAAGATCAAATTGCTTTAGTTAAAAGATGCCTCAATAGCTGCCTGCTTGGAGTTTGGAAGGATGCAATCCAGATCAATATGAACATCAAGGCAGGCATCACCATCGTCATTCTTGGTCCGGTATGGCAGGGATAAAACTTGAATTGTTGAGCAGTAAGAAGCAACTCTTCGATTGAAACTCGAGATCATTGTATTTTGGTGGGTCCGTGGATCTGGTTTCGGCAAAGTTCCTCCCAAGTCATTTGGACAAGGTTGCAAGTTTTAAATGAAGGAACTGCATTTGTTACTGAGTAGTTTGTTTAAATAGCAACATTAACGTTCAAGGTGTTTGTGTAAATGAGACAACTTGCAGGCTTTGAACACCTAGATATATTCATAGAAAGCCCCTTTACAGACAAATTATGAAGCATAAAAGTGCCTATATTATCATTCTAAACTAGGATCAGCTATTGTATTTTTTATTTTTTCCATTGTGAATGTATAAAATTTTTGCTTGTAAAGCCCTCTTGAGCTAAGAATCTTGTTTCATCATTCTCCATGAAAGTCATAAATTAACTGAACGGTATTGTATTATATGTTTTCGGTTTTCTTTTCGTCAGTGCACATCACAGTACTTATTTTCCAGCTTTCAATCACCTTTAGACAAAGCAGAACCTCAAGATAGAAACGAAAGATCGGTGGGGTAGTCTTGTGCCGGTAGCTTCAGTGGTGGCTGCCTCCGTCATAGGAGGGCGGAGAACTCAAAAGAGAAATAAGAAAAAAGAGAACTAAAAGAGAACTATAAACGATGATGTCTTTCAATGTATCATGTTTTGTTTAATTTGGTTTATACAAGAAAAATCCGTTGTGAATTTCGTATCAGTGTAATCTTGTATAAATTTTCTTTTTTTCATCGTCTTATTTCTTATTATACACCATGTTTATTTTTTAAAAATTATTTTTAATTACTTCGTAAATTTTGTTCTGACTTTTATTCCGCTTGAACGAAAGTAATTTACTCCAATTTTAATTTAAGAAAAAATCCTTGTGTGGCTGGTCTCAGATGAATAGAATTCAGCATCTCATTCGTAGAGGGGTTTTTGACCAATGATTCCATCCTATGGGTTATGTTATCATCCCTGCATTGGATTGAATGACTTGGAAAATGAATTTCCATGGACCCAAACAAACCAAGTGGGACGAGAGGGCAGATTAGCAGATAAAACAAACAGTAGGGACATTTTAGAGAAGAAGTTGAATCAAACAAACTTTTTGCAGAAACATGTGGCCACGTGGAAGGATCTGAACCGTAGCATATGGCGCCAGCTCAGGTGGGGCAGACAGACTGGTGTTGATTCCCGCCGGAAGGTCACACGCACATGAGAATGGCAGGTGCCGATACACGCGGGTGGGCCCCCACCTACCTTTCACCTGATTACCGGCTTTACCGGTTTTTTCTCTCCAACATCCACTCCTCTTCGTCAAAACACAAATGCTAAAATAAAAAGGGAATTCGGTAAAATATACTGTAAGTATTTAAATATATATGTATATATATAAGCGTCACGAGGCCAATTCCATTGGCGTCCATCAACGTCTCAGGGGCACTGTTTCGAATCGTTCGGCCTTTTCTCTCTCTAAAACAATCTCTCTCTCTGCGCGGCTCTCTTGAGCCACTGCAGACAATTCTCGGAGTTGTCTAAGAGACATCGCAGAGAGAGATCGAGCATTTTGTTAGGTCGCTAACAAAGAGAGAAATTAACTATCGAAAAAGAAATGGCAGTTTCTAGGGTTTGTGTTGGTGTCATTGCCAGCTTAACACTCATTTTCGCTATTGTTTTGCCCGGCGTTCGAGCTCAATCTCCTTCTCCGGCGCCGGCGCCGGCGCCAACCAGTGACGGTGAGTTGTCGCTTTCTTATTCATTTGTTTGCTGAGAAAGTATAGAAGAAAAAAAAGTGCAATAGCTTATGACATTGCACTTTTTTTTTTAATTTCTTTTTCCAAAATTAAGAAATCAAGTTGCTATATATATATATATAGAGCTACTTTTCTGCATTCTATCAGCTATGAAACGGCCGTATTTCTGTTTCAATTAATGGATCTGCAACAAGTGCTTTCATCAATTTTTAAAAATTGATGAAATGTATATATAATACTACTATATGAATTCTGATTATGCAGTAAATCACACCCACACACACACACACAATTTATGTTATGAAATGTACCAGCTATATTATACATCGCCATTCTCTCCCCCGCTCCCGCTCCCTCTATCTCTCTCTCACTCACTCACTGTCACACACACAAAATGACAAAATCTGATTATGCAGTAAATCTTCAGATCTTTCTTTTGAACTGGTGCTTGTTTGAATGGTAATTGTAGCTGCATTTGAGTGTAAATGATGGGAGTATATTGTGTGTGTATCAGGGACAGCGATTGACCAGGGGATTGCATATGTGCTGATGTTGCTGGCTCTGGTCCTCACATACCTCATTCATACCTTGGATGCTCCATTTTAACTTCCGAGGCGTTGATTGACGAAAGAGATATTATTATTATATACAAGGATGGGATTGGGAAGGTGTCTCTCGGATAAGTTTTGTTTTGAGCAGACTAGACGGGTGGTGTGCCTCGGCCATGTAATGGACAGTAGTGTTCTAACTTGACATATTGTTGGAATTTTGTGGTTATTGTTTATGTGTGGATCATATTTTTGTTGGTTTGACTCACCTTCATATCTCTAATTTTTTTTCCCTTCCCTTCCCGAGAAACATGTTTTGTACCTGTATTTTAATTTGATGCCTTCAAAATCATTTGATTTTGAATCATCTGTTTCACATTAAGCAGGCATTGCCTAGCTCCTGCCGTCGCAGGGCCTAAAAACCGAGTGATCATAAATACAAGAGTACGGCAAAAGAGCTTGCCATGGCTCATGCTTGGTTTTAATGATTAGAACCTTTTTTTCTCTACTTCCTAAAAGGGCCGAATAGGATTAGGGTTTAAATTCTTCCATTATGTCCCCTCATCTACCTCTCCTTTACCAGTAAATGAATTTGTATCAAAATTGAAGGGGGTTTGCAAGCATGCTACCCTGTAAATTTGGATAATAAAAGCAGATTCAAACCAGGGTCACGCCCTCTACAATAGGGGGAACCCGACAATACTGAACCACTGAGTTTTAGAAACTAAATATTTTCAAATAAGCAGATATTAAGTACAAATTCAAATCATGTATCAAAAACAGCGGCAAACAAAATTGCAATTGGCAGCACTACCATAACTGTAAACCACAAACATTTCACATCTCCACGAACCTACCAGAGGGATCCCTTATCATTTCAATTTCACTTGGTTGCAAATTCTGTCAGAAATTATAAGACAGGAAACCCTTTTATACTCAAAATTCTACATGTATCCTTAGGTTGAGTACCAATGCAAGTATTTCAGAAATACAATCTCAACCATAGTTGCCCATCAAAATTAACAGGAAATGAAAGAAACAAATTCCTCATCGTATCAGAAGTCACCAACCAACGTAGTTTAATCATGCTTCTTGATCGGATCAGCCTTCCCTTGGTTTTGTTCTGCCAGAGAGAACTTCTTCACTTTCTGCACACAAAGAGTAAGAGGACTGATAAACCAAAACACACCATAGAATTTGGCAATTGCTAGAGAAATTCAAGCCAAAGCTCTTTATTTGTATTAAATTCAAGTCAAAGCTCTTGTTTGTACTATTATTATTTTTCCTCCCCAATTTTATCGTCTCACACCCAATTGAATGCATAATCTTCAGGTCCACTTTATCATACAGTTTTGAAGACACAAATCCTCATAACGAGGATCACCTTATTAAATTTAACAAGGCAACTCCATTCAAGCATTGCTCACATTAATTTAAAGGTTCAGCTTGTGACATGTAGAAGTCAGCAAACTTAAGGGTTGTTGTAGCATCTGCATCTTCTACTTCCATACTCTAAAAAATCATATCTAGCATCATGATGGTGTCACACCTGCATTCTTCTATTCTCACAGCCAAAATATATACAAAAACTTCAAGGTAACTTCATCCAAAGTCGACAAAACAGAACATTTGTTTGATTGTTGTGTTGATATTCATGCAGTTGCTCTTTTGAATGAACATTCCCAAGGCCACACAATCTCACATGATGCTTGTTTGTAGGTTGGTTTCTTCAACCTGGAATGTGATATATTTTGTAACAGTAGACATGGAGGACCATGCTCAAGTTGGAGCAAGGCAATCCACACACACACGCACCAACAGAGTGAGATTCAGCCCAAAGATTCTCAACCGTTCAAAGAATGGTCTATTTGCCCTTAAGTAATGCTCTCACGATGTGGAGTTCAACTGGGCTTACAGCATGAGGGCCAATCACAACACAGCTAGTGCAACTAGCCTGCAGTACCTATGTCAATAGGCTGCAGTCAAGGACCATCAAAGGAAAACAGCTTTTACAGTGAGAGGCATGCTGCAAGCCACATGCCTGGAGAGTGTTTGCTTTCCATGTATGCAGCCACCTCCAAGTCACTTCAGCTTGCCCCCCTACTCTAGCCATCACGACTAATACCCATTATACCCGAGCATTCTAGAACTGCAGCACGGAACAGAGCCATCTTGCTGACAAGCAGTGAGCCCTAAGGGCTCCCCGTGCACTTCTTCTACTTGAGGCAAGTGTAAAGTATCAGAGTACCTTGCACAATGATTATGTTGCAGCAATCCTAATTCCAATGTCTCAACAAGAATGCTTTTTCGTGGATCACCTCCACAGACAAGTTCACATGTGGGTGGTGCATTGAAGAGTTTTGATTGACGAGGATGATGTATAGAAAATCTATGGTCCGGTGGACATAACAAGTGGCCAGATGTAAGGCACCTTATCGAGTGCCAAGCAAAAACACTCGACCTTTTCCAGGAAACTTATTGAAGAGTTTTGATTGACGAGGATGATGTATAGAAAATCTATGGTCCGGTGGACATAACAAGTGGCCAGATGTAAGGCACCTTATCGAGTGCCAAGCAAAAACACTCGACCTTTTCCAGGAAACTTATTGAAGAGTTTTGATTGACGAGGATGATGTGTAGAAAATCTATGGTCCGGTGGACAATGCAAGTGGCCAGATGCAAGGCACCTTATCGAGTGCCAAGGAAAACCACTCAACCTTTTTCAGGAAACTTGGTGCTAATATTAGAATATAATATCGAATGCAAAAATGAAATTAGAATACATAACATTGAATGAAAGCTATTGGATTGTATCTTATGGACCGCTAATATTAGCATATAACAATGAATCCATATAATTTTTCACAATTGAGTACAAAAAAAGGTCTCCCCAAGGCTCACAATTATTTTCCATATATACAATTTATAGATATGAATATATATATATATATATATATATATATATATATATAGTTCGATTCGGTCCTCGTGGACCTACTAGAACCAAAACCAAACCATAAACTAACAGTTCCTTATTTTTTGAACCGGAACCGAATGGTAGAACCACCGAACCAAACTGACAGTATGGTTTGTACTTGTTTACGGGTTGCAACGGCATTTTTTAACTCCTCTAAGAAAAGCCACACACATGATGCCATGACTGTCACACCCCCCACGAAGCATAGCCCTTGATTGTCCAACAACTGAACTTCGTTTGCGAATCTCCACCATTGTCAATTAAAACCCTAATTAGTTCTTTCACCTCAGTCACAATGAAGCTCGGATCATATCATGTTGATTTCTTCTCTTATCTGCTATTGTTTAATTTTTATTTTTTCAGATTCTCAATTTTTCCCAGTCCCATTATTGTTTTCATATCTTTTAAAAAAATGTTACGCAGTATGAAATTACATAAACATCAAAACCATAATAGTGCTCAATATGAGTTGGGTCTAAAACTTGTATGTATTCAGGCATGGAGCTGCCCCCAATGATTTTTTTTTTTTTTTTTTTAAAAAAAAAATTGTATTATATATCTATAAATTTTGAAATTGGTCCCACTAAAATTATGAAAAAATTCTCAATATATAAATCTATTTGGATATGACCTAATTGACTCTCTCATTTTATATTTGAGTTTTGTACATATAATTTAAAATTTTAAAACTTTCACTCTACAAAATTTTTATATTTTTATTTTGTACATATAGAATTATATAAATTCTAAAATTGTCCCACACTTCTAGTTTTTAGTCTCAAATTTAATCTCTTTCGATGATCATTGAACACTCTATATCTCCATCGTCATCCTCTGTTTTCTTAAAAATTTTGGGCAAGTTTTAATTTTTTTTAAATATGTACGAAAAGCAAATAAAAATTTGAGAGAGTCAATTAGGTCATATCCAAATATATTTATATATTGGGATTTTTTAAATAATTTTAGTGGGAGCACTTCAAAATATATATATATAATAAAAAATAAAAAATAGTGTGTGCTTTAAGTTTTAGACCTAACTCGCATTATTATGATTTGATGGTTTTGTAATTTCATAGTTCATAACATTTTTTTTAAAAATAGGACAACAATAATGGGACTGGACAAAATTGAGAATTTGAAGAAAAAAAAAAGAAAGAAAGATAAGAGAAGAAATCAAAAGGATATGAGCTGAGCTGAGCTTCACTGTGATTGTGGTAAAATAACTAATTAGGGCTTTAATCGGCAATGGTGGAGATATTCAAACTACGTTTAGTTGGAGGATCAAGGGCTAAGATTCATGGGGGGTGTGACAGTCAAGGCATCATGCGTGTGGCTTTTCTTAGGGAATTTGAGAAAAACTGTTGCAACCAGTAAACCGGTACGAACTGAACCATATTGTACTGAACTGTCAGTTTGGTTCGGTTCTTTTATATATATATATATATATATACACACACATATCTATAAATTGTATATATGAAAAATAAGTGTGAGCCTTGGGGAGACCTTTTTTGTACTCTCATTATGAAAAATCATTTGTATTTATTGTTATATTCTAATATTAGTAATCACTAAGGTACAACCCAATAGCTTTCATTCAATGTTATATATAATAATATTTCTACTATCATTTTAGCATTCAATAATACTATACCAGTGGCTAGATAAAACGATCACAAAATTGAACTTTTAAAACAAGGCAAAATGATGAGCAGTTCATTGTTATGGTAGAGGGATGGCTGATATTAGAGAGAAGCAAAGGCAAGAAGGTAAAGCAAAGTTGATCCATGAAAACATGATGTGTATTTACTGCCAAAAGATAACTCAACAAAATATTGTCCCAATTATTTGGAGTCAGCTAGATTAATCCTATTTTAGCATTCTACTTCTATAACCAAGCTTCTAAGAAATAAACTATCATAACTTATTATCTCTATCCATATTGACTATAATTATGCCTTTCCTATCTCAATATGGACCACACCACTCTTCTCACTAGTCTAGGTTTTCACTGCACATGGCCAAACCATTTTCATCATTTCTCTTTTGTTTATCTTCAATAGGTGCTACTTCAACCATCTTGTGGATGTAACCTTTTTTAGTTTTATCTTCTTTATTTTATTTTTATTTTTTTCTTTTGTTTATTAATATCTTACAATGCATCTATATCAACTTTTGCATTTCGATCACACTCTATTTGTAAACTTGTTGCTTCTTACCTGTCCAACATTTGGTCTCATTCATTTGGATACATACGAAAGTTCTAATCCAAGTATATATTAAACACATAA